CCTGTCTCTTTTTGGGAGAGTGTGTAGCTCACTAGGACCTGCTTCTAGCTCACTAGGTGTCATCCTTTTCAGAACTAAAAGCTGGTCTAAGGTTGTCTGTTTGTCTTTTCTTTATGACATGACATTGTCATTAAGCAGGTGAATGCAATGATTGGCTTTTTCTCTGTCTGGGTGAGTTTTCTCTACAAATGTTGTAGCTCTGTCCATTTTTTAATGATTCCCTTTATATCAGAAAAAAACTTTGCTGCACTGATTGTTGATACTCTCTCTCTTCTTCAAAGAGCTTCTCAGTTGCCATTCTCTGTTTCTTAGCCAAAATTTGCTAAAATTCCTTTGTAGACAATTCCTCTGAGTGTTCTTCCACCAGTTCCTCAACATCACCCCTGTCTACCTGCAAACCTATGGACTCTGCTATGGTAACAGTGTCATCAACCACAGGGTCAGTTGAAGGCAGAGTCTCCTCTACACAGCCTTCAAAGTCTCTCTCTTGTATAATTTTAAACCACACTTTCTCCCAGACAGATTTCAGTGTCCTTAGAGAAGATTGGCTCAAGATTTTTTAACCCCACCCAGGAGAGAATGTTGTAATGTTCCTTCTCAAGCTCTTTAAGGGTTAAATCTGTACCTGAGGTCATCCAGAAGCACTTCAGGACAGTTCTGTGGTGTATAGCTTCTTAAAGTTAGTTGTAACCTGCTAGTCCATAGGCTACAATAGAGGATTTTATTAAGTGGAAGGAACTTGACTGAGAGACATGGGAATTCTTCAGCCAATTCTTTCAAATCTCCGGGGTGAGCAGGAGCATTGTCTATAATGAAGAGAGTCTTGAGTAGTACACTTTTGTACTCCAGGTATTTCTTAATAGTAGGTCCAAAAGCCCCCTGACATACTTTAAAAAAAGAACTGTTATTACTCAGACTTTTGCATTAGATTTCTACATGACCTCTTGTCCATTCTTCATGGCTTTGTGTTTTCTGAACACTCTCAGGGTCTCAAGAGTGACAAACCAAGAGAGACTTGATTGAGGTCACTATTTGCATTGGCACATAGCAGTAAGCTTAGCCTATCCTTCATGGGCTTGTGACCAGGAAAGGCCTTTTTCATCACTGTTGAAAACTTGAGAGCAAAAGCCATATCTCTTCATTATTTTGAAGTAGTGTATATAATTTTTAGCAGCCTTTTTGTCAAGGTGGCTGCTTCACCTTGCCTAGTTACACTATGAGCAAAAGTTCTTGCTTTAAAATTGTGAAACCACCCTTTACTGGCATGAAGTGTTTCACCATTATCACTCATTGATGGATTATCTTTTTATGAGACCTGTATAGCCCTAGCTTTTTCACAAATTCTAGACTCAGATAGGCTATAACCCGCCTTACTTTATCCATAGTAATAAACTAAGGCCTTTCTACCTCATGTAACACTGTTGATCATGACTGAGTAATTTGAGTAACACCTTTAGCAATGTGAGCTTCCTTCTACAGATCTTTTCTCTATAAAATCATTTAGATGGTGGGTTCTGATGTGCTGTACTAAATATTAGTGAATTGGTCACACTGTCATATTTTTCCACAATTGCCTTTTTCTTTTAAATAGTAGTTGCTTTCTTTGTTCTATTTTTTTAAAAAAATTTATTTTATTTTATTTTTTTTAATTGGTACCAGGGATCGAACTCACATCTGCCTGCTTGCAAGGCAGGTGCTTATGCCACTGAGCTAATTCCCCAGCCCTGTGGTTGCTTTCTTAAGCTTCTCTTTCCCTAGCTTCTTTCCCAGATTTTTGGGGGCCAATTTGATAACAGTAATTGTAGCAATTATATAAAGTACTGACTGAAATTACACCCACAAACAAACATCTGGGTTCAGACTGACATTTACGTATGCTTTTCTGGCATTGTGAATCTTTATTTACACCTGCACAACTGGCCAGCATTTGGGTTGCAACTCAAAACTTTGGTTGTAAATTAAATCTAAAATTCTGGTTGTAGCCCAAGTTGTTTGTAGGTGAGGCTGGTCATAACTCAAAGGTCCACTGTAGTTTGATTTTTTTAAAAAAAATTGAATCTCATTAACAAATGCATATTTTTCTGATTAAGTATAAATTCTTTTATATTTGAAGAAATTGCTGAAAAGGAAGGACTTATTTTTGGTATTTAGAAATTATTTAATTAATATTGAAATAGTATTACTGAAGTTTAGTTTGAAATACTTTTTAAGCAACCCAAGCTCTGAGTTGTATTATATAGGGTTTCCTATAACAAAATTGGCTTAATAATTTAAAGTTGCTCAGTCAACAAAAACACATAGAATCCCTTGATTCCTACTTTCAGCTGTGCAGTCGGGCAGCTTCTTTTATATCTGGCTCCACCCTCAGCCATAGTGACCTCTCCCTGGGAGCTGTTCATTGCTGCACAGTGGATAGCAGATCTGCTCTCACTCAGCCTAGATGCCAAGAGGCATTTTCCTACCTAGGTGGAAGGAGGTGGAAGGATAGACTTGAGAATCAAGTCAGCTCTGGTTGTGCATCTTGTCATTTCATTTACTAGATGGTATCACCTCGTGAAATACCTTTTAGTTATTTTTTAAGCAGGTAACTAAAAAATTACTTTTCAGTCATTCATATACTGAATGATTTTTGCCCTGAAAATTGTGTTAATAAACCAAGATCTTTGAATACTAAAGAAAGAAAAAAGACAGTGTTTTATGTATTGTAATTGTTTTCTCTATATATATTTTAATGTCGAGCTTCATTTTTTTATAGTGACATGTGTTTGCCCTTTCCCCATTCTTCTTTGTTTATATTGTCATTTACATGACATTATATAAAAAGCACCCTAAAGTCCCAACACTGTAATTTATTGTATATATGTAAGTATGTATCTAGTGGTATTGTGGTTTGAACCCAGGGCCTTTGCAGTAATGTACATCTCCAGCCCCTTTATTTTTCATTTTTGCTCAGGGTCTTCCTAAGTCACTAAATTGTGCATGCTGGGCTTAGAGTTATAATTCTTCTGTCTCAGCTACCCAGAGTACTGGTGTTGAAGGCATACATCCTACACTGTATTTTAAATTGGTAATAAATCCATTTTAATTCCTCACGAATATTTTAATTTTGCTCTTTCATGTTATCAGTGTCAGAGTAACCATTTTATGTATCCTTTAGCAGAGGTTTATGATAATTTTTAAATGCTTTTTCTTTCAAATTCTATAGCAAATAGAATTTGTTTTTGTGTTATGCCTCTTTTTCCCAGAGAGCATTAGAATTTCATGCTTTATGTTGCTGTGAGCATTTTATTTTTCAGTGGAAATTATTTTCCTTACTATTTCTGGTAGTCTAGGTCTAGCTAATCCAGTAAGTGAATTAATCTAGTAATTGCACCTGTGAGCCAATCACTTCCAAAAGCCTCATCTGGAAGCCCAGCAGGCTTTGAGTAAACATCTAAATATAAGTGATCACATTGAACAACAGTGTGGAAGTTTATAAAGAAATCATAATTCGAATGATTATATGATCCAACAATTCTCAAAATACCACCAAAAAGAAATGAAATGATTATGTTGAAGAGTTGTTTTCACTACTGTGTTCAGTGCATCATTGTTTCACAGTAGCCAAGAACAGCAACAATGTTAGTGCCCATCAATAGATGAACAAATAGAAATCCCAAATCAAGTGGATTACTATTTAGCATTAAAGAAAAACTTGTCATAGCAACATGGGTGCACACTTAAGAGAACATACAGACTTCATGTGATATGAAGTAAGGGAGACAACAAAATAAATTACAGCATGATCTTATGTGGAGTCTGCTAATGTGGAAATCAGAAGTTTTAAGAGCCTAACATTGATTATTAGGGCTGTGCTTTTTATGGGTAATGGTCAGAGTAATGTTGGAAAAGGGTACAAAATTTTAGTTTAATACATATGAAGAATACAAGAACTCTACAACATGGTGAGTGTAATTAATATATGCTTAATAAATGATAATAGAGTGTAAAATATGCTAAGCACAAAAATAATTTTGTAATATAGTGCATGTGTTATTTATCTAGATTTGGAGATTCTAGCACATCTACACTTTAAAATGTTATGATATACTTCATAAATAAATAGAATTTAATTTGCAATGAAATCAGTAGTAATAAAAATTTTTTAAAAATTTCAAAACTGAGTCATTTGTCCCCAAGTAAACCTATTACATATTGAACTCTGTTTCAGGATAAATAAGCAGAATTAAAAATGAACAAAATGAAAATCCCCCAAGAAAGCCAGCATTTGTATGTTTTTCTCTTGTTTTGGATGCTCCCCCAAGCGTGGTGCAGTCATGGAGACAGCTGAATCTAGCATTTGTGGTTGGTTGTTGTCTAGCACTGGGATTGGCAGTGTAAGTGCTGCATCCACACGGAGCTGGCATGTAGTTTAAGGGCGGAAAGGAGGCATGCTTTCCCCTTTTTGCCTTTTCACTGTTGTTGCCTTTGGCCACCATAAACAGCCATGTTCCCCTGCCTTGGAACCAGCTAAGTATGGAATGAAACCTCCAAAGTTGTAAGATAAATAAACCTTTCCTTCCTTCAGTTTGGGCGACAGTTATTTTGTCTTAACAGTGAGAGAAGATTAACCAAGATACCTGTTTTTCTGTCCTGTGGGAGAAGATAGGAGTTAGTTTGGTTTTGTTTTGTTCTTTTGTTTTTTCCTAATTCCACAATGCTCTAGGGAAAAAGATGATCTATGGTTGACAAAAATAGCAAATATCTTTTTCTTCCAATATGGTATTCCTCTAACCCTCCCCGCCTGCCATGTTGTGCTTATCTGGAGTGCTATAAGCCCTTAGTTTTGGAAGCTTTCACAAAACAATATAGTCAGTATATTTTTAAGTTCGTGCATCTCTAGAGTCGTTACAGTTTACTATTCTCCTATCCCACTGATGTCCTCAGCTTCATTATAATTTGCAAAGTATATTCCCTGCAGTCTATTATGTGAGGTAACTGGCTATTTTAATTTATTACAGCTGAATCTTCTCCTTATACCCAAGACTTTTCAGGAGAGCAGTGCATAAAACATTTGTTCCAGAATATGAAAAAGGGAAGATATGGAAATTATGGCCCTGACAGTTTATTCTTAAAGAAAGAATGGAAAAGCATGGATGAAAGTGAAAGTCAGAACATTTGTTACGACGGACACGATCAATGTGTGATACCTGTCCACAGCAAAAAATTGTTTGTCCATGGAGATCAAGAACATACATCATCTCAGAAAAAGTCTCAATTTATGCTAGTTACTTCTGAAGAGCCATGTGTTTCTATAAGTGAGTGTCCACACCAAATTTTGAAACATAACTTTCCTCTGAAAGGAAATACAGAGAATCTGAAAAGGGGCCTACTTCATGCCACTGAGTTAAACTTTAACTTAAACATTTCTATTGACAATAGATTTAAAAATGAAGATATTAATAAATATGATCAGTCTGAGAGTCCTTTTAGAAAAAATGCATCTTCCAGTCAAGAAAGAACTTTTCCTTTTGTCAAAATACACAGTTTTAATGATTATGAGATGTTTACTTACCCATTATTGCTTAACCCAAATGCAGAGATAGATATCCGGAATGTACACTACATTCATAATGAAACTAGTAAGATGTTTGGCCAGGGGTCTAGTATAAATAATTACATGTATACTTACATTGGTGAGAAGATACATGAATATGACGAAACTCATAAAAACTTCATCTATGGCTCAAATCCTTGGAAACATGAGTGGACTTGTTTTCCAGAGGATCTTTACCAAGACAAAAAATGTGGGAAAATCTTTAAATACTCAAATTTTGCTACCCTTCCAAGTATCTATGTTCAAAACAACACTTACAAATATAAAGAATGTGGCAAAGCTTTAAATCAAATTTCAGGCCTTGTTCAACATCAGAAAATTGATTCTGGAGAGAAATCTTGCAAATGTAAAGAGTGTGGCAAAACCTTTACCCAGGATTCAAGGCTTAAACAACACCTGCATATTCATGGTGTTAGAAAGAAATCCTGCAAATATAAAGAATGTAACAAAGCTTTTAATCAGATCTTAGGCCTAACTCAAAATTTGAGCGGAGACCAGCCCTACAAATGTAAAGAATATGGGAAGGCCTTTACCCAGGATTCAAGACTTAGACAACACTTGAGAATTCATAGTACTGGAGAGAAACCCTACAAATGTAAAGAATGTGGCAAAACCTTTAATCAAACCTCAGGTCTTTCCCGACATCAGAGAATTCATACTGGAGAGAAACCTTACAAGTGTAAACAATGTGGCAAAACCTTTGCTCAGGACTCAAGCCTTCGACAGCACCAGAGAATTCATACAGGAGAAAAACCCTACAAATGTAAAGAATGTGGCAAAACTTTTAACCAGATCTCAGTCCTTACCCGACATCATAGTATTCATACTGGTGAGAAACCTTACAAATGTAAAGAATGTGGCAAAGCCTTTAACAGACTTTCATATGTTGCACAACATTACAGAATTCATACTGGGGAGAAACCCTACAAGTGTAGTGAATGTGGCAAAGCCTTTACCCTGTATTCAAGCCTTAGAAACCACCTAGGAATTCATAACACTGGAGAGAAGCCCTACAAATGTAAAGAATGTGGCAAGGCTTTTAATCAAATTGCTAACCTTTCTGTACACAAAAGAATCCATACAGGAGAAAAACCCTACAAATGTAAAGAATGTGGCAAAGCCTTTAACGTTCGTTCAAACCTTACTCAACATCAGAAACATCATACTGGAGAGAGACTCTACCAATGTAAAGAATGTGGCAAATCCTTTATTCAAATTTCAAACCTTATTCAACACCGGAGAATTCATATAGGAGGGAAGCCCTACAGATGTAAAGAATGTGGCAAAGCTTTTAATCAAAGCTCAAACCTCATTCGGCATCAGATAATTCACTTAGGAGAGAAACCCTACAAATGCAAACAATGTGGTAAAACCTTTAATGGTTCTTCAAATCTTACTCTCCATCAGAGAGTTCATTCTGGAGACAAACCCTACAAATGTAAAGAATGTGGCAAAGCATTTAAACGAATTTCAAGTGTTACTGTACACCAGAGAATACATACTGGAGAGAAACCCTACAAATGTAAAGAATGTGTCAAAGCTTTTAGTGATTGTTCTGCCCTGATCCAACACAAAAGAATTCATACTGGTGAGAAACGATACAAATGTAAAGAATGTGGGGAGGGCTTTAATAAAAGCTCTCGACTTACTGTGCATCAGAAAACTCATAATGGAGGGAAACTCTACAGTTGTAAAGAATGTGGCAAAGTCTTTAGTGATTGTTTAACCCTTACTAACCATCACAGTGTTCATACTGGAGAGAGACCATACAAATGTAAAGAATGTGGCAAAGCCTTTAATGATCGTTCAACTCTATCTCAGCACAATAGAATTCATACTGGAGAGAAGCCATACAAATGTAAAGAATGTGGCAAAGCTTTTACTCAAAGCTCACACCTTACCCGTCACCAGAGAATTCATACTGGAGAAAAACCCTATAAATGTAAAATATGTGGCAAAGCTTTTAATCAAAGCTCAAACCTTACTCAGCACCAGAATATTCATAGTGAGGATAAACTCTAAACATGTAAAGTGGAAACTTTTTTTGTGTGTGCCAGGGATCAAACTCCTGACCTCGCATTTGCCAAGTAGGCACTTACGCCACTAAGCTAAATTCCTGACCAAAGTGGCAACTCTTCAGATTTTAAACTTCATTTATGTAATGACTGGGAAAACATTTGATGTCAGAGTACCACAAAAAACATACTGGAGAAGAATCCTTCATAAATGTGAAATGTGTAGCAAGCCTTATTTATGCCTTAGTTTCATATAGATAAGAGAGTTCTTTCTAGAGAAAAATCTTACAAGTATAGAAAACCTGGGAATTCCTTCAACATTTGCTTAAAGCTTACTGGACACATTAGTGGATGTGATAAATTAATCTTGACTAGATATCAGAGAATAATACAGAAAACATCTCTGAAAGAATAGAAATTTAACTTACAGAATATTCTTTTGAAAACTGAATAAATCACAGCTCTCAAATCATGCTTTGAAGAGTAGGATCCCTGAAAGTTTTTAATCTATACATTTCTTTACAATGTCTTTGGAATATTTGCAATTATGCATGATTTTTGTAAGTAAAAGTGTCTGATGTTTTTAACTTGTATTTGAATGATGTCTTTCTGTCACAGACATTCTGCTTAAAATTCTAGATGACATAATATACAATTAGGTAAATAATTGAGTGACATGTTTATTAATCCTTTTCCCCAATGTCATTAAATGCAAATTATTTGGAGAATTATTATTTCTAATGAATTTTTATCTATTGTTTCTGGTAATTACTGAGAAATTATGATAGTTATACAAATGATACTATAGGTGTATTATACCGCCTTTTCAAATCTTGAATTACTGCTTATAAAATTTTTTCCTTTAATTTTTCATTTGTTCACTCCTTTGAATATAGAATATAAACTTTGATTTAGATTTACATTGTATATTTTAAATATGCAAAAATTTTTATAAAATGACAAGCTTGATTAGCTTTTGGAACAAGAGAACAATCAAAGTTGTGATTGTGTGTTCATGAATGTACATGTTTATATATACCTATCTTGTGAAGAAAAAGAAATTATAAAAATGAAAGCTCATTTTAAAATACTTGAAAATGTCCAAATGATTAATGTCCCATATCTTTAAAAGTCTCATTTCTACAAGATAGTTTTGAGTTTTAGAATTTTCCCATGCCAATTCTTTTTTTATTTGAATTTAACTTGTTGAAACCCTAACATGACTTGTTCAAAGCTTATGAAATACTATTAAATCTGTTAAACATGATTTTTGTAACAGTTTGAATATGTATTCTAAAGATATATTTTCACACCATATTAAAAAACCTTTTATCATTGTATTAAGTTTACACTTTAGTGGACGAACTAGGTCTTTTTTATGTTGTTTCAATTTGACAAATCAAAATTGTATGAATTCAGTGAGTGAGTTGAGGTGAAAGTTGGATAGACTTCAAAAGTCATGAAGTTGACATTTGTATGAAACAAACAACTATGCTGTTTACACAACATATTCCATAACTAAGAGAAGTGTTTCAGTTTGCTTCATGTAGTAGAAAGATACAGAAGAGATGACATTACTTTTACATGTGTTCACATAGACACATTGATCACTTAAAAATGTTTTGTCCAGTTTGTCTGTGCAGGATTAATTGGCCTACTGACCTTTGGAATTGGTATGTATTTTTTTGTTCTTTTTTGATTCTTTTCTGCTTTCATCCTTGTTTCTTTGGTAGCCATAGCATCCCAAAGGCCTAACAGTCTTCAGCCCTATCGTAATTTCCATATCCACTATCAGAGCCTGGCCAAGATCCGCAGCCTCTCAAATGAATGTATGGTGAAGGCTTAAATAAATGTGACAAATGGTGATTTTTAGGGTTCCAGGAGGATCAAAACTCTGAGTTCGAGACTGGGATAAGATAGGGAATGTTTCTGGGTGGCCTGTATTTATTTAGTATTCAAACAAAGAAGGGGTTAGAATGGAAAAATCAGGAAACCTAAAAAGAACCTTGGGAAGGCCGTAAGGACCCCTCAAAGCAACAGACTGTGCTAATTAATTTGAACTGTCTTAGAAGGAAGTCCAGGTAAATTCCATGACAGGAGTGACATGCCACAATCTCCATCCTGTTAATTGGGATTGGAGCCAGGTGTCCTTAGCGGTAGCCTATGTTGCTCCCTGAGACGTCTCGTTCTCAGTCCAGCCATGCCACAGCTCTGCATGAGTATTCAGCTTAGGGTTTAGGGCTGTGTTTCAGGGCTCCAAGTGAGGGTCAGGTAGGCCGAAAGTTTGGGTTAGGGTTTTAGGGTATAGGGTCATGTTTCTGGGCTCTGAGTGAGGGTTGGGTCGGTTGATGGTTATGCTCAGAATGTTGGGCCCAGAGTGCCCAGGGAGGGATGCCTTAGGGTTAGGGTTAGGGCCAAGGGTTGTTTTCATGGTTCAGGGTTACCTTTCAGTGCCCTGTTTGAGGATCCGGGGTGCTAAAACACATGGGTTGAAGACCAAGCTCTGAACAGGGCTGGTTAGTGTCGTAGGCCAGGAGCCCGTGTAGGGCCTTGGGTTCGCCAGCCTTGCACTCCTCACCTCACCTCACCTCTGTTGCTATGGACAAGCAGAAGACTCTCCTGCAATTTCCCCTCTTTTCCACCCACTGGGACAGGGCCTTCCCTCAGCTCTGTCCCTGCCCCTGTGGCTCGGCATCACCAGCTACCATCTCTCTCCAGCTCTGCATTGAACTAACCCTTGTCCCGTATCTGGACCCCCACCAGGGAGGAGGGAGAGAAACATTTGAGAATTGCTAAGAGTCTGAGTGAGTCCTTTGAGAAAAGCATAATGAGTGGGATGACCTGATGACCTACCACTGCTGGACTCGGATTCTGCTGATGTCCACATAGCCATCTCTGGAGCCTCACTGCACCAACAAACCACTGAATTGGGGAGATGGCTGTGGTGTCTGTCGACGCAAAGTCAATGCCAGACCCTCTAAATCTCATTTCTGATGGGTTGTCTTTGTTTTCTATGGTTCTCTCAGTTCAGAAGCTCTGTGACTTTGTCCTTTGGGGGTACGCTTAACTCATTCCCTTGGCCAGGCTTTGAAACAGTTGCGTCTGTCTTAGCTCTGCATCACTGATTAGATGCCATCTGGAGCGAACCCTGCTTATGTGCAACTAGTGTCTGACCTATACCTGACTCCAGAGATTGAGCCCCGCATGTCTGTAAGTAGTAGCTCTCTCGTATCTGAATCTGGAGACCAGAAGATTACTCAGGGTACGAGTCCCCCTGCCATGAGCAAATCAGAAAGAGCAGTACCCAGTCACAAACACAGACATGGGACAAGAAGCCGCCAGTTTGCCTGACCAAAGAAGTGGGAGACCGACGGGTGTATGTGTCTCCTGAGCAAAAAGCAATGTCAGATTCTAGCTAGCCACATCATTCCAGATGGGATGTCTGTCTGTCTTTCTGTGTGTTTTTGGTAGTTCTGTGTCCAAAGCTTTGTAAAACAGAAAATCACACAAAGAGGGTCTGAGCTCTCATGATTCTCATCATCTAACCTAATAAAACACACACATGCCCTGTTCCCCACCCTCACCCTAAAAATACACACATGCCCCGTGCCCTAATCTCACAGTAAACACACACATGCCCAGGTCCCCAACCTCACCCCCAAAAGACGCACAAGCGCTGTTCCCCAACCTCACCCTCCCCAACTTCACTCGAAAACACAAAAGCCCTGTTCCCCAGGCTCACCGTAAAAACACGTGCTTCGTTCCCCAACTTCATGCTAAAATACACAGAAGCCCTGCTTCTGAGCCTCACCCTAAAAACCCACATTCCCTGCTCCCCAGGCTCACCCAAAAAAACACATGCCCTGTTACCCAGGCTCACCCTAAAAACATACACATGCCCTATTCCCTAACCTCACATTAAAACACCCCTGAAAGGTTTTTGCCCTAGATGGGACACTGTAGCCAGAGGAAAGCTGAGAGGCAGAACCAGAGGCTCTATCTTGAGGCCATCTTCCCCGCCCCTAGGAATTTACCTATGGCATGAAATGCATACCAGTGGGCTACCTGTGCATCACTATCTGTTACTGTTGTCATGGAATAACAGCTATATGAATTGCCTTGTAGTCATTAATAATATGGCCAATTCCTGGAAATCTGTACTGGTTAAGTACACTGCAACATCCCATCTCTCAAATCAACAGGTGGTTGGATACTTGGGGCAGAGCAAAAGACCAATTGTTAGCCATGCCCAGAGGGCATCACAGAAAAACAGACATTAATATCTCCATACTAAAAATAAAGCTTTCTACTTCAACCTATAAGCCTGAACACATAAAAAACAAAAACAATAGCAGGCACATAAACAAAATATAAACATGAGACACGGCCAATAAAATACTCCAAATACTCCCAACTACTGCAAAGAAAATCAGTTGGGCGTACAATGGGAGAAAGCTAATGTCACATGCGTGATCTATTCAAAATAATGTCAACAAAGACAACAAAGCATCAACAAGACATTTTGCAAGCACGATGAGGGCCTAACTAAAAAGATATTGGTCCAAATAATAAGTGAAACAGTAAAAGACATTCATAAAAAGCTACAACAGATAAACAAAATGATGCAAAATATGTGTGACAATCATAAGAAAGTATTACAGTCCATATCAGTACTCCACATAAAAATTCAGAGGATCAGAAATTCTATAAAAAATATGGTCAATTGAAATGTCCAATGTGAATTAGATATTAGAGTTGTTTTCAAGAAAATTTAGATATAATCACTGAACAAGCAAAATGAATACAACATCATCTAGATGATGCAAAGAAGACTAAGATTAATTCAAATTAGACAAAAATCAAAACAGTAAAGTGGCATAAAATACCAGCTTAAAATTCCCGTTCTTGTACACTTTGGGTTTAACTTGTTTTGGTTTTTGTTTTCTAGAAACTGGAGGTTGAACATTATTGAAGCTGAATGTTTTCCTGATGTGAGTATTCACTGCCATAAATTTCCCTAATATGAATGCTTTCATTGTTACCCATATGTTGCATTGATATTACAGCTCAATGGTAGAAAATGTCTAATTTCTTTTATCTGTAGCTCAAAGGTTAGACAGTAGCATGTTATTAATTTTCATCCTTTTATGTAGTTCTTTGGTTTCCTTTTGCTGATACTATTCAATTTCATTGCTCTATGATTTCATAATATGGTGTTATTAATTTTCATCCCTTTATGTTGTTCTTTTGTGGTTTCCTTTTGCTGATGATATTCAATTTCACTGCACTATGATTCAATCATATGCATGGTACAGTTTCAATTCCTTTGTCTTTATTTGGTCATGTTCTATGAGATAGGATATGGTCTATTTTGGTGAAAGTCCTGGGTACTGATACTAGAAATGTGCATTTTTGATGGGGACTTTGTAGATATGTACTAAGTTCACTTGCTCAGAGATTTGGTGCAGCTCTGATATTTCTTCACTGATTTGTTATTTAGTTGGTCTTTTTTTGTGATGATGGGGCAATCAGGTTATTCACTATAATTGTATTACAATTACAATTGTATATTGTACCATTTATCTTATTTTTCATGTTCATTAGTGTTCATCTTATATAATTGAGTGAAATGCCTCTTGTTTTTTTTTTTTTTTTTTAATTGATACCGGGGATCGAACTCATGACCGCCTGCTTGCAAGGCAGGTGCTTATGCTGCTGAGCTAAATCCCCAGCCCTGAGTGAAATGCTTCTTACATGAAGCACATAGTTGGACATTTTTCTTGATCAATTCTGCCAGTCTGTTTCTTTGATTGGTGAATTTAGACTATTCACCAATGTTGATTATAAATATTTACTGATATATCCTTATCATATTTTCTTGTTGTTGGTTCTCTTTCTTTCCCTTTTGTGTATTTGCTTGTCTTGCCTGGTGGATCCATTTTGTTGGGACTATTGGAATTAACATTGTTATCACTTTCTAGAGCATCTTTCAGAACATTTTGGACTGATGGGTTGGTGGCCATGAATTTCTCTATATGTTATTTTTTCATGGAGGTATCTTTTTAATCAGTTTTGAAAGACAATGTTGCAAGGATAGAGCAATCTGGGTTAGAAGTTGTTTTCTTTTAGGACTTAAATGAAATTAAGAGTAAAAAACAATAAAAGAATCAATGAATCAAAGAGTCAGTTCTTTGAAAGATTTAATGAAATAGAAAAACCTTTAATCTATCTCATAAAAAATGAAAGAACCAAATCCATGCAATTAAAAGGAAAACTGGTGAAATCACAATGGAGTCTCCAGATATTTAAAAGATCATAAATACTTAATTTGAGAAATTAT